TCTTCCCACTTGCTGGGGTGGCCCTTGTACTGTTCACTTACTGGCTAACCCTTGGTTGTATTTTGAAATGAGCACATTGCTATGAATAGATGATGCTTGAACAGATCACAGAGAGGAGAAAATAAGAATTAAATTCAGGCATTTTAGATATCCTCACTTTTTCTTAATAGAGTGAAAGAATCAAATGCATTTACAACAAACAAAAAGTACAACGAAAACAACAGTCCCCTTAGGTAATTCTTAAGCCACATGGGATTTTAGAATGTACATATCATGAATGAAATACCTGTTGAAAAACTACATTACAGTCCTGCAAACAGAGTGATAGGCCCCTTGGCTTAAATCAAACTTGAAGAGACATTTTAATTAAGAGGCACATGAAAAATTCCATGAATATTTGATTCATTTAAAAATATTTAATTGAGGACAAATGAAAGGGAAAATCCTGGTCTTTGGAATAACCCATGTAACTTATAACAAGGTCATCCATTTGCATGGTGGCAAATAGCTATTTGATTGTGAATCTTCTGCTTACTAAGCAAGTGCAATAATAAATAAATAAATAAACAGCTGAGATTTCCTGCTGAGATACTAAGACAAAGTTTGAAGTTAACATCAAGAGATATTCAAACAGTATTAGACATGGTCATGATGTAAGACTTTCATTGAGCTCTGTGGCCCCACATATTTGTTGATAAAATAGGGTACCATTATCTATTTCCTAAGATGCTTGTGAGAAGTAAACACGTAATTCATATAAATCTTTTGTAACGAAGCCTGGCAGACAGTAAACACTCATCAATCTGAACTGATATGGTTGTTGTTGTAGTGGTCGTTTTTGTTGTTACATGCACAGAAGCCCTCTCCTGGGTGAAAGAAAAACTCCTACAATTGCTACTTCCTATTTGCTGGCTAAGAAACCTCATCTACAGAGAAAGTCTGCTGTACACTTTAAACTACAATGTGAATAAATATCAGGATGTGCAAGGATTCCCCCCAGTTTGCTTTGATCACTTTGACCCTGCTGCTCTATTCATTACTTTAAAACCCTGACCATCTACCAAGTGCCATGTTAGCTGTTACCCTTGTTACAACGTTTATATTGTACAACATTAATTCGTTTAGAGTGATAAGCCTACAACACAAACATATCACTCCTCTTCTTCCACATTTAAGTGTGAGGGGCATTTTAAAAATTCTAACAAATGTTGGAGGAAAGGAAAAAGATCATCATAGCAGTGTGTGGAAATTATATGGCAGCGAAAACAAAGCAACCCCTACCCACTAAAACAGCAAATAACAAATCAATGACAGAAAAGCCTATTTTATACTATGACTATCTTTTGGAGACAAATGATATAAGCTTACGAAGCAGGAAGTGAAATTCAACATTTTTAATTACTCTTGAAAAAGTCAATATTCCAAAAAAAATATGGATTCCACAACAGATCCAAATTAGTGTACAATACTATATCATCATTGATTATTAAGATGCTAGAGTATATAGAGATGTGTTGAAAGTTGAAACTATTAAATAAATTGCAACTTGATATAAATAAGAGATATGTGAATAATGGTAAATGACTGAGAAACATAAAAGAAAGAAGCCAAAAAGAGCTTACATGAGAATTTTTAGAAGATGGAGTGCTTACTGGCTACTCCTTGTTATTATAATTGAACTATGTTCAGGCCATTTTAAGATACGTCTAACTTTAGAAAAATACGGTGATTATGAAATCTGGGTCACATGAAGTAATAGCATGGAGCTGAGAGCTATCTGCCTGCCCATCCAAAATTGCTTTTCTATCTTATAGAGTTGCCTTTCAAAGAATACAAAATGAGAAGGGGGAAAAAAACACATTGTGCTTTTCCTCAAGACACTTCTTCTAGGAAAATGATTCTACCTCTGGGGAATTTAAACTGGGTGTTTTTCACTGTAAAAGTAATTTACACCCTCCAAAATGAGGTTTGAAAGTGAAGTTTTCTAATACATAGGCCAGCTTTCCATTTATATGCACAGGAGTTTCTCCATTTTCCTAGAGAAATAGGCTGAAAATAGTAGCTAGGTTATGGTATTAGTCCACAGTACCACAGTCTGTACTGACTTTAGAGAAAAAGGAAGGGGAAGGGATAGAGAAATAGAAACATCAATGAGAGAGAAACATCAGTCGACTGCCTCTTGCATGCCCCTCACTGGGGATCGAGCCCACAACCCTGGCATGTGCCCTGACCAGGAATTGAACCAATGAACTGTTGGTTCATGCTCAATCACTGAGCCGTACCAGCGGGACATTCTATTGTATTTTAATTATATTTGTAAATACTGTTATTAATAGTACTCTGTAATCTGGGATTGAGGTTTTTATAAAAAGTAAAGGAAGAATTTTATTCAACTTGCACCAAATATTTTGTGTGTCTACTCTGTGCCAGGTGCACTGATCTTAGTGCTGGGCTGTAGTGAGCAGGGTCCCTGCCTACATAAAGCACAGGATCTGGTGAATATTGATTTTCTTTGTTGGGGTGTGGGGTGGAGGGACAGTACAAGGCTAACACGAAGTAGTATGATCAAGGGAATCCCTATTTTTCTTCTGCATGAACTTAAACCTCCCTATCACCAGGACACCCAATTCGCTGATAGCATTACAAGTCTCTCACTGAAACCCCCACCTAGATTTGCCCAGTCCCCACATCCTTCATCCTTCAGGTAGCTGATGTGAGACTCGTGTGGCAATATACCCACCCTTATGCCCACTTGCTCATGTCAGAAACGCCTAATTCCATTGCTGTGGTTTATTGCAAAGGAAATGTGTTAGCATTGTTCAGCATTATCATTCTTATCACTTGGGTCAGAAAATATTCATTCCTAATCAATATCCATGTCAAAAGAATTCCCAGATATTAAAATACAAATCACAAGTGAAAATGGAAAATGATTTGGGGTGGCTTGCACATTATGGTGAGAGGTTATAAAAGTGGAAAATCATCTGTGCACAGTGTTTTCTCGACATTGTAACGATGCTGAAAAACGGCAATTCTAAAGCAACCTTCCCAAGGCTTAAGAGCTCTTTCTGTTTTCTAGGAAGTATACTTAAGATTTAATCTAAGTCCTTTTTGCTATTGCTTACATTCATTTTCTCTTCTTTTGTTGTTAATAGAAGCTTGTTAAACCATTATACATATTTGTTCAAAGAGTAGGGAATCTGATATTCTTTAGCATAATCCTTCCTCAACATAAAGAAAGATTAAAACATTAGGACTAGCATTTGAAATATATGACTTATTTAGTTGGCACAAATCAAGTATAAAATACCATTTATGTGAGTGTGCATAATTTGTAAATGTTTCCTTATAATGAATTTATTTAGAACGAATATCGCTGTGTCTACTTAGTAAAGAGAGGATGATATTTGTAATCATGCAGTTTGAAGTAGTTGATAATCTTACCATGTACCTGGCATTGGATTGATTGCCTTTATGTGGATTTTCTCACTTATATGCATTTGCTTCTTTAATCATTGTAACCATCCTATATGGTATTATCTCCTTATGAGGGACAAAAAGAAGGTAATGCTGGAGGTGGAATTTGAACTTAGGGAGTCCAATACCAGACCATGCACTCTTAATCACTCTAAAAAATAAAGTATCCATTAACTCCTCATTTCGGGAAACTCATCAGCCACACTAACTCTTGGCTCAGTTGGCCTTGGGTTTGGAAGAATTAACTGCTGTGTTGACCTGGTTAAAGACAGGATTTCTTACTTTTTCTGTTATAAAAATGCAATCTTACACATGGACAAATGAGTTTAGAATCTGACAGTGTTGGCTGCTGTGAAATTTTGAGTGCCCTCTTAAAAGATTTTAGACAGTTATCTGGACATAGATAACTAATGTACCCTTATATCTGTATGACCTACATTTTTTGGGGAATGTAATTATCCATGATATGCATTTTGTGGAGAAAGGGTATGGATCTCTCTTTATTCTTATGTCACAATCGCTCTACATTTATTAAGGTGATGTGATGGCAGATGCATGATATTGTGAGACCTGCCAGTGGATTTGCCCAGTGTGCTATTTGGATTCCAAAACAACCCTAGGACCAGTGATCAGCACCACCCACCACTTTAGATGAAGTGCCTTAGGAAATGACAGTACAGGACACACTTTGCTCCACATCCGTTATCTTCAAAGTGAAATGGAGCACCAGTGATCCAGGTTGAATGGATCCAGAGTAAACACTGTGTTCCAGAATTACATAACATTATTCAGACAGTTACTAATGTAGGGCAGGGCAAGAGCGAGCTTCTGCACCTTAGTTGTATTTTATGATTTTTCTGTGAAAATGTAGGATTTTTTCTCCTCAACTTGTGATTATCTTATAAATGACATATACAGAGTGGGACAAAATAGGTTTACAGTTGTTCATATGGAAAATAATACAATGATTAATAAACAATAATTAAAGAATAAACTCAGTATTTCATGTACTCACCATTGTAAACCTACTTTTGTACCATCCTGTATATCACCATGGATATATAGACACTAGCAGAGATTCTGTAGTGTAGGGGACTGTTATACAAAAGTATTTCATTTCAGTTAGTTTAGTCATGAGAAAACTGAAAAACCTCAATACTTGTATTTAACAAACAAAGTATAATAGTCAACTAACGAAAGCAAATGGCTTTTATAAATCCAAGTCTACACATACTTGAAATACAAGCTCTCGGCAGATTTATTCAAATTATTTGAGTTAACTACAGGCAGCTTCCATGTGTGTGTGCAGGCACATTATATGGATGACATTAGATTGGAATGGTTACTGTTCAATGAGTTGATACTTGCATTTTACTTGGCTGAAAAAAATAGCATTATACATCAAAAGGCATTGAACACTGTGTACCTTTTCTTGATCTACTCACCAGTTACAGGAGCTGATGACAACACATTCTAAATATTAAAATATGAGCTGGTCTCTCACTGTTATCCTCTGCCTACAGGTTGTATATAAAAATAATGATGTAAGGCTGGAATTATCTCGACTTGCCAAGCAAGGAGACCCTAAGATGAAGATCCATGGAGTAGTGGCATTTAAATGTGAGAATGTTGCAACTTTGGACCCAATCACCTTTGAAACCCCGGAGTCTTTCATCTCTTTGCCTAAATGGAATGCAAAGAAAACAGGCTCCATATCATTTGATTTCCGCACAACAGAGCCAAATGGCCTCATCTTATTTAGCCACGGCAAGCCACGACACCAAAAAGATGCCAAGCACCCACAGATGATCAAGGTTGACTTCTTTGCTATTGAGATGCTGGATGGCCACCTCTACCTCCTCCTAGACATGGGGTCAGGTACAATAAAAATCAAAGCCCTGCAGAAGAAGGTGAATGATGGAGAATGGTATCATGTGGACTTCCAGAGAGATGGACGGTCAGGTAATTTATCTGTTTCCCATGCTGTTTATCTGCTGGAATATCCCATCCACCCCTTTCCTAAGGAATTAAAACCAAGAGATATTAAAGATTTTCTGCATTTCTGACTTTAGGGTAAAGGAAATTATCTGTTGCTATTTCTGTTTCACATCATAGAAAGAGCTAATTAATCATCATAGTTGGGCATCAAACTCCAAATGCTCAAATGGCTTCTTAAGTGAATACTTATTGGATAATCACGTGTCCAATCTTGCAAGAAATTTTATCTTGGATTTACAAATGACAAAATTTAGTGTTCTGGCATTACCGATGAACATTTACATAATTGGGTGTTTGGAGGTGCCTGAAATGGCAAATCTAAATTATGAAAAAAAATGATTATCCATACAGAGAATCATTAGTGTAATACAGCACACTTTTTATTCGAGTTAGGACTAGGTATCAAAAAACACTTTAATATAGTTGTATTTCAAGGACACTGGCAAAACTACTGCCTTCCAAGTCGCTTTCCTTCCTGGTGAAAGATGTTTGGAATTCCACCAATAGGGATTCATTTCACCTGGGGTTTTTTTTGCTACACCTTTTCTCCTGAAGCTGTGTGCGTGTGTGGCAGGGAAAGAAAGGGACTTGTAGGGAAGGCCTAAAAGAATATAATTTCTTTACTCTGAAGTTCTGGAGTGGGGTAGGGAGCATAGCAGGGCTGGGGAACGCCCGGCCCACAGACCTTATTAGGCCTGTGAAATAATTTAGTCTGGCCCTGCCAATGTATTAGGGGTGAGGTAATTAAATGTTTGACCAAATATAGCAGGCTAATTTTTAAGTTGATAACTTTGTATGGCCTGCCAATGAGGTTATAAGTATCCAAATGGCCCTTGAAAGAAAAAAAGGTTCCCCACTGCTGGGGCATAGGAAGATGAGTAGCATGGGGGTAGGGGGAGCAGTGAGTTGCTAAGAATCATATAGGCAGAGATCATAGCATTTGTGAAAGATGGGGGGGGGGGCAAGCAATTGTTTTTTATATATACAACTATATATTCCTTCTTACTTCTTTTACCGTCTTCACTCTGTGCTTCCATACTCTGATTCTCTCATTTACAAATCAAATTATGTTCTTCTAATAAAAGACAACTGAATTTAGACCTAGCCACTCTCCTCCTCTCCCTCCCCAACTCTCTCATTTGCACATATACATACCATCCGCTCTGGATTTTCCACTAAATACCAGTAGAAACTCGGCCAAGGCATTTCGGGGTGGGGGGGGGGGCTTGAATTGCTTGCTGTGTAAAACATATTGGGAGGACCAACTTCATTGCCGATCCCAGACCCAGTGAAGTGGGATCGACAGCGATGGGACCTAAGATTCTATATTTTTGCAAAGCTTTCCAGCAGACTTAATAATAAGCCAAATTTGAGAGCCACAGACCAGATGACACTCAGTGCTTCTTTCAGATCCAATAGTCTGTGATTACCATCCTATTTGAGAGGGGTCATAGACTCATTTGTCACTTGCTACTTCTCTGCAATGAAACAGTTTCTGATTTCACTATTATTTATACCTTGTTTTCCTGTTTACAAATCAAGAAGATTGTGTTTCCCTTCCTAGAAATATCTTCTTTTTGCACAATAAAATAAATATATGGAATGTATGAAAATTAGGAGGGAGTTGGCTGTGAGGGAGAAGAATTGAAGAAAGCTCAGAACCCCAGGTATCTCAGATACTCTGTTTCTGATTCCTCACTCTCTGGGAACTTGGTCTCTCTTTGTTGTCATTCTTTCATTTCTCTACGGAACTCCGCTAGGACAATGGTTACAGTTCGTGCCATGTCATTTTTTTCCCGAGTGTCTTAGATAATTGACAGTAGACAGCAAAATGTTTTTCTTGACTGCTCTACTATACAGATTCCATTAGAAATTCGATTCCTCTATGGTTTTCTGACTTAAGCTGAGAAGAGTACATTGGTGTGAATACAGTGATGTTGCAATTGAGTGAGTGCTCCCTTTGGCGTCCCTCAGCCTATTTCTAGAGTTAGCAGTTAAGTTGCTACTTAAGAACTTTTAAACAGAAGATGTAGAGGAGGATAGGCACATGGACTAATCTTCTGTTTTAGAATACTAACTTGTGGATATCATAGTTTGACTTAAAGCGCATTTAGAATAAAATTTTGAAATTAATTTATGAGAATATGTAGGTTTTTAGACTTTATTACAACCTAACACATAACTGATCAAATTAAGTGGACAACATTCGGAAGATCAGAGAGATAAATAATACCACACTTCAGATCAGTTGTATTTCATTCCCGTACGAATGAGGTATTTTCTAATTATCTGAAGAAATACATGGTTGATGTCAAAATTTTAGGAAATGCAAAAGAATGTAAAAAGGGAAATAAACCACTCATTATTTATTTGATAATGATGACTTATACCTGGATATTTTTTTCCTGTCTTTTCTAAAACTTATTTTAATTATAGTTCATATACAATATTTTATTAGTTTCAGGTGTACAAAATGGTGACTTAAATTTATATATCTTATGCAGTTATCACCATGTAAGTCTGGTAACTATCTGACTCTTTCCAGACATCAGTGGTGATACAATCTAAATAGTTTCCCCAAGTTCTTTAGGTGACCTAGTACAATAAGGATCAGATAGATACTTTAATCCACAAGCATAATAAAATCTACTTTTTCTGTTTAAAGTTCTTTAATTCATTCAAATTACCAAAAATTTATTAACTGTCCTTTTTATACCCTCATTGGAAAAGGTCAAAGCTAAATGGAAAGAAGAAAGAGATGTCTTCAAAGAGGGCTAAGAGAGAAAACAAATAAAACATGAGATTTTTGTGGGAATCCAATGGAAAATTTAAGTTACTATGTTTGGTGTTGTTTTCATGGCAAAGTACTTTTATATGATTATAATTTTAGATTAGTGAACTGGAACAAACAATATAAAAACCAAAACTTATTCACTAAACCAAGTTCTGTCCTTTACTAAATTGAGAAAAAAAAGAAAGAAAGAAAGCTCATATTATGTTGGCCAAGCTCAAGGGAGTTTAATGTAATTTTAATAACTGTAGTCATTAATATTTTATATATAGTATTTTAATTAAATTCTATATTTACACACTAAATTGGTTTGATATAAAGCAGACTTTAAAAGATTGAGTGAATAGCTATACTAGCTTTTATTTTTGAGTTAAGCTGATGAGATGTGAACATTTGTAGCTCAGTTAAAACTAGGAAACATAATTTCAAGGAGTAATTTATTTTACTCATTTTTCACATCAGCTATATTCAGAAGCTGTATGAAAATTACTGTTGATATAATGCGGGGAAATGGTACTGCCAAGACAAGAAAGCAGTGTGGGATGTTTTCTAATTCGTGAACGATGAAGGTCTTATCTATTTATTTGTCTGGGATACTCCTTAGTACTATATTTCAAAACATTTAATGAACCATATTTTTTTCTGTTCCTAACGTAGAGGGAGCCCAGAACTAAGAGTTATTCCTCCTGCTATTGACCATGCAAAAATAAGTAGGAATAAGAGCCATGGCCATTAATTTGATGCTAATAACATTTGGTTATCTTGGTTGGAGATAGGATTAAAACTGTATTTGGTGGATAGACTTATTTTTTAAATATTCTGCAAACATTTTATAATGGAAACCCATGTATGAGAGGCAAATTCTTATTTATGTTTATACCCACAGGTCCCAGTACTTCTTGTATAATAGCAGTGGCTCAATAAGTATTTGTTATAAGAAAAAATAAAGAATAAAAATGTGAATGGCTCAGTAGCAACCCACCCCTAATGTTTTAAAATAGTAGCATTATCCTTACATTTGAAGAGCAATAGCACTCTTTTAGTTGTAAATGTAACTTTTTTTTTTTTAGTTAATCCTCACCCAAGGATATTTTTCCATTAATTTCTAGGGAGAGTGGTAGAGAGAGGGAATGACAGAGAGAAACATCGATATGAGCAAAACACATCAATTGGTTGCCTCCTACATGAGCCCCGACCAGGGCCCCGGGCCGGGGAGGAGCCTGCAAACAAGGTATGTGCCCTTGACTGGAAGTGAACCCAGGACCCTTTGGTCTGCAGGCCGATGCTCTATCCACTGAATCAAACCAGCCATGGTGTAAGTGTAACTTTTTAATGGAATTACTCTACTGTCTGAAAGCAGTTTACACATTATACTATAGGATAACAGGCCTTGTCCCTCTTTTAAGGATACAATATCATTCTCCAAACCCAGGGAATGGTGATAAGCCAGGCACAAAAATGACAAGCTTTTATGAGACTAGGACTCTACCCCTGCTATTCATAAGGTCCCCATGCCTTTTAGCAAACATGTGGGTAGAAAGAAAATCAATCATGAGGGAAGGTGTTCACTCCTTTGGGGGGACTGGGATATATAGCTACAGTTAGCGTGCTAGTGAAGGAAGTCACAAGGATATCCATTTTCTGATGATATGCTTTTCAGTCCTTTGTTCAATAAAAGATTGGTATATGAGCCCCTTATTTGATGAGAAATACTGCCTTCATCTGAATACTTTACTAGGACTCAATATCAAAACAATGAATTGCATTGGGTTATATGTCCCTGTTTTCAATCTCTGACATGGGAAGGAGAGAAGCACTTTAATTCCCACACTTTGGTTAATATTGTTTGGGCACAGCTATTCTCTCTGTATAATGTAGCTTCTTTCATGCTTAGTCGGTTACCAATGACATAGGAGGCCAAGTAGGCTGAGCCATGGATGGCATTTTCAGATCCTACACGACAGTGGTAGAGGAAGGACCATACAAAGTCCAGCCATGATTTTGTGGATCAGAGTGTATGACTTGAGTGCCTCCCAAAGTGGATGTCCCCCATGGGTAGCTTAGCAACTTGACAGAGCAAAAGTCCTAACTTGCTGAGTTAATGCATGTGGGTTGAAGAGGCTCTTTACTCTGCAAACTTTGCGGGATTTACATTTCCTTACCAGTCCCTCCT